GTAATATTATTTACCAAGACAGGTGGCAGGCTGAAGTAGATGGTGGTTTGCTGATCACTGATCTAGGGGACAGAGGAGTCATCAGAAAGAAGGAACCTGAGCACTTACATAAAGTCGCCACTCATCTGAACAACTGACATCAGGAATAATTTTATGAGAAAGACACAAATATCTATTTTCTTCAAACCACACATTTTGAACTGTCACAGTAGCTCATCCTTCTACTCTATATTTATATATGTGCATGCACACAGAGTTACACATTGAAGGTATTGAAATCTATCTGACACTCACAAATTAGTATTCTGAATAAGGAAGTGTTTTTGCCAATCACTGAGGGAAAAATAAATGATCTAGAGGGAATGCAGGCAGAGGACATTAACAGGGAATTAAGTAAAGACACAATGCAAATGGATCACATTCAATAAAGATTATTTTTAATGTTCAGCTGTACAACAAGGATGGGATTATAAGTTTTCACTTATACAACTGGCAAGAAAATCTTGCTTTATAGAATGTGCAGTATTTGAGTGTATGTGAACAAACCCTCTTGTACCACTAACAGAAGTATAAAATGATTCAAAAAATTTAAGAGATATTTAAGACAACATACGTTAAAACATTATGAAATGTACATTTCTTGTAAGTCTATTCCAAGGTAACTGTAAATAGGCCTCTGATTATGCAAGGTATAATAATTACATTCTTTTATAATATGTATTGTAACTTACATTTCTAGCCACAGAGAAGTGTAATGGTGTAATAATAGCATTGAAATGAATAAAATATTTTGAAGACAAAAAACAAGGAAACATGTTCTTGATATAGTAAATGAATAAATAGGTTATAAAGTTCATATCCCAGAATCATAATCTTATTAAAGAAAGCATGCACACATATCCCCAAATGAAAGCAGAAATGGCTATTAGTAGGTGATAGCAGGATAAGGAATTATTTTCATTTAACTTCATCTGCTTTTTAATTTTATCTAATATTTCTATTAAATTCTGAGTTGCCTTCAATTTCCAAAAATAAAATATGACTCATACTCATAAGTTATAAACAAATTAAAAACAGGAAAATATTTGCAAAAATTTAATTAAAATGTTTAACAAATATTTATCATGTATCTACTATGTGCCAAGCACTCTCTTAGGCACCAGAGCTAAAACGGAAAATAAAATAAAATCCTTGCCCCAGAGTTTATTTTTTGGTAGGAGATATAGGCATTAAATGAGCAAATAAGTGAATTTTCAAGATAATTAAAAATAATGAGAATTTCTGTTGAGAAAATGAGCAATGCTTATTTGAAATGAATAAAATATTTTGAAGATGAAAAACTGGAAACATGTTCTTGATATAGTAAATGAATAAATAGGTTATAAAGCGCATACCCCAGAGATATGAATTGAGAGCCCTACAGGTTGAGAAAGAATCAGTACATGAAAGGAAATCAGGAAAGCATATCTGGGAGCAAGAACACATGCACAAAACTCAGAGCAGCAAAGAGTTGGGCAGATGACAGAGGGATAGATAGGTGGTCAGTATGAGTGGTGAGTGGCAAGTTCATGATGCGGTTCAGAAGCAGGCGAAGTTGAAAAAAAATAAAGATATGAAATCTCAGTAAAGATTTTGTTTTTTCTCTAATTAAAAATAAAAAATAAACTATTGATGGTTTTGAGACAGGGAAGTGATACCAAATTTGGTAAAAAAAAAAAAAAAAGATCATGTTGCTTCTATTGAGGACTGACATGTCTAAAGTCCAAAAAAGTTCATAGAAATAAATAAAAAGTAATAAACACTATATAGATATAGATATGGAAAATGGTCAAAGAATTGGAAGAGGAGGAATAAATATAAATTTTTAAGAAATAGTAAAATGTTCAGCTATACTGATTTTTTCACATCATACAGTAGCAAAGTTGAATAAAGAAATTTCCTATATGGTAAGGGGTAGGCAACTCTAAAATTTGGATAGCATGTTAATATATTTTTGAAAATCAACTTAATGGTACATATTAACAGTATCAAAAATACATATTTCATTTATTCCTCTATCAAAAATTTCCTTAAGGAGATAATCACTGTTGGCAGAAATGTATGGATAGTGGCCAATCTTAATGTTAGAACAAGTGTTTAAAGTTTCTTTTTTTTGGTAGAGGGATTCTATATAATTTTGTTCTTTGTATCATTCTGTGTTTCTCAAAAATTTTACAAGTGGTAGGCATTATTTTTACAATCAGAAAAATTTATTGAAAAGTAGTTAAGATGTCCAAAACAAGCTCATAATGAATAGATGATATCATGTAGGAGAACAAATAAAGTTAACTAAAAATGTTATATATAAAATCCAATATATGTGTGTATATATATAATTCAATATGTATAAAATTATATATATACACATATACATGCATATATATATATATATATATATATATATATATATATGCATATATCTGAGTTCCAAACTTGTTTTACTACTTTTAAATTTCAAGACTTTGGGAAAACTTCTACTTTTAGGCTCAGTGCTATCATGCATAAAATTGGAATAATAATACATGCCTCAGAATACTTCTGTAAGGGTTTAAAATCACTTAGTATGTCATTAATACTATTATAACTTGAATAATCAAAACAGTAACAATAGTTTAGTATTTACTAAATGGCAGCTACTCTCTGCTTTTTATTTTTCAAGCTTCCCCCTCCACCTACCTCATTTAAGACAGCATACCAAGTGGAAAGGCCTATGCTATTTCCATCTTATAGATGAGAAAATTCAAGCATAGAAAATGTATTTTTCAAAGCTTAAGGTAGCCAGCGGCAAATCTTGTATGGTTCCAGAATCCAAATACTTAGTGATTATGCACATTCAAGACATTTTAGTTTTCTTCATCTTCTACCTCTGTTGTTCTAGAATCTGTACGCAGAAATCTACTTGTTTTCAGCTTTTACCTTCCCCTTAAGCAAACCAACAAACAGCTTCTGCCTGTGGCAATTATTTACTATGTAGGTACAGCCTGCTTATTGATTCACACTGAAGAGGATCGAAAGATGAATAAGGTCTTACTTGTCATGCCCTTCAGAAATTTACTGTATGAAAACACAATTCAGAACAATTACAGTACAAGTCAGTCTGTCTGTTTTATACAAGAGTCAGAAAGGGCTCAGGAGTAACCAACCACTTCTGCTGAAAGAATGCAGACAGACTTTCGAGAGAGGCGACTTTTGAATGGACCTTGGATCAAGGATTGTAAGGCAAATAGTGAAGAATGAGTGGTAAAGAAGCAGATAAATGTAATCAAAGAAAAAAATTTTTTAAAAAACCTCATCATTCTAGGCTGATCATCTCAGTTTGACAGAAGTTTAGGAAGTGATTTGTGAGGAAGATGCAATCAATAGATGAGGGCCAGGCCTCGGGGGCTTTGAGTACCTGCACATGCTTTACTGAGAGTGAAGAAAAGCATTTTACAAAGGACAGCAAATTAGCTATCTATGTATCCAAAAGGTGACTGAGCCAACTGTAGAAAAAAAACTGAAAGATGCAAGACTAAGCACTGGGTATGATTAGTGAGGATTTTCTAACCATTCAAGAAGAGGTAATGGGGCTGAGATGGGGATAAAGCAGGTGAGAGATGAGGGCTTGGGATGAGGTTTAAGTACTTGTCAAATATGAGAGGATGTTCACATGAGCAGGTGACAGTCTCCATCAAATAATACAAGCATATCAACTGTAAGTGGTATTTCAATAAGTTAGGGTAAAGGAACACAAAATCAAGTTTTATACATAAAATTTCAAAAAGTTGTCCTCTCCTGATTGCAGGAAATAATACATGCAAATTACAATATCACACAGTTCATTTCAAATTAAAAGTATGTTATATGCATGTATGAAAATGGCACAAAGAAACTCATTATTTTGTACAGTTAGTATGGGCTATTAATTATAATTAAAAATGGTTTACAAACCCCTCAACAGTTTTATCTCAAAGGCCTATTTTAAAATCTTTCAGCTTAAACCATAGCAATGACTGAAAAAAAAAAAGTATGACAGTTTCACATCCAGAGATTTATTCTTATTTGCCAAACAAATTATTTTGTTATAATTCACAATTTTCCAGGGACCTATCTCACCCTAGATAAAAGCTAGCATTTACAACCATTATTACTACATAATTGTGACACAGTAGAATCCAGGGGTTGCCAATTTTCTTTTTAACCATAGTACTGATTTATTAACCCCAGGGTGCTGGATTTAAGTGTAATACTAAGTAGGAGATTTGAAATAATTGTTCTTGCTCTTTCTATACTTTATAGGAGTCTTAGGATGATTGCTGAACATCTCTGATGCAGCACTTTAGAAGAGAGGAGACTCCCATGCCACCTGGTGCCTTATTAAAGGATCTGCTTCTTTAGGTTGGAGATTCTGTTAGAAGGGGGTTAATTTGGGCCTGAATCAGTTCCATAAGAAATGTGGACTCAGCTGGGGCATAAAATTTGTGAATATATTAAAAAAAAATCCAATAGTAACTTCCATGAATTGATATTATGATTTTCCCAGCTTAATACTCTTTAGAAGAAAAAAAATACAAAGAAATACTGGCTCTCTTTATTTGGCCCTGCAGTCAGTTCCAACGTAGAAAATGAAGTCACCCATGTCATAATTACCCATGGACCTACAATTCTTGCTTCTAGGTCAACCCATGTAAACTGAAGGCAATGAGAAAAGCCTCAGTAAGGAACTACATGGGATCCAACACATTGCAGAGAAAATTAAGTTCTAAAAACACAAGCAAATCAATAAATATGTAGTCTAAATTTTTCAAATTCAAAACCAGAGGGAAAATTGACATAATGTACTTTCATGCAAAACACTGCCTACTTACCACTATTTATGGAAAATTGGTATTTGTGGATATGTACATTTACAAAACATGCCCACATGCTAGATTCATTTGACTCACACACAAACAGTTAATTTGGAAAGGTTAGGTTTTGCAAACTGTTTCTTAGAATCAGATTTATTCAGGCAAATCTGTGAGTCACTGTACATATTTTATATACCACTTGATTATTTTGTTTACATTTTTTATTTTTTGCCAGAGAGGGCTTTCAGTAAATATTATCTTTAGTGCCTTAGAAAGAATTACAGTACAAAGTCACAAAAAGCAACAGTGTTTACATATATAACACACATTAAAGTTAGTATTATCACACCAGGTCTTACATCTCATTACTCTTGGGAGCTTTTCCCAATTCTTCCATCGCTAATTCCTTTTGGAGGTTTTCAGCACTTTTTCCATAAAGCAAATTTTCCCCAGGTGGGTTTTGAAACTCAGGTTCCCGGGCGAGCTGAGCAGTTGTGTTTATGAGCACATTGTTTCTAGCTCCTAGGATATAGGCTTCCTGGGGCTTTCCTCTTTTCCAGCAGACCTGGAGCTGGAAAGCATCTTGGAAACCACGGCGGAAATTCTCATTGAAGAAACCATATATGATGGGGTTGACACTGCTGTTGCAGAAGGCCAGCCAGTGTGCAAAAGGGTAGATGTAGATGTTGATGATCCGCAGTACATTTGGAGAAAGGTCAACATAGTCTGAGAGCATCATCAGAGTCCATAGGGGTAGCCAGGAGAGAATGAAAAGCAGAGCCACGGTCAGGAGCATCTTGATGACCTTCTGCTTCTTTTTGGACACCACATGCCACTGCTCCTGGCTCTGCTTGCCTGTGTGGGGCACTGCAGACTTAAAGAGCGAAATCCCAATCCTTCCGTACATGATGACAATGAGGGATAGGGGAGCCAGGTAGATGGTGGTGAAGAGCACAGTGGTGTAGATCTTCCTCATTTCCTGATGTGGCCAGTCCTCCCGGCACCAGTAGACTGGACTGGTTTTATTCTGAGAGTTGATTCTTACTTGGTAATATTTCTCTTCTTGTACGTGTAACATTACTGCAGATGGAGACATAATGGTGATGGCCAGGACCCAGATGATCACAATAATGACAAATGCTGTCTTGATAGTGAGTTTTGGTTTAAAAGGGTGGACAACACACCGGAATCTGCAATTAAAGGCAAATATGAATGAGGCATTGCCTCATAACTTCCAACCAAGTCGTGAATCTACTTTATTTAAGTAATTAAGGACCTCCCACCCTCATTTCCCTCAAAAAATATGGAAAGTTACCATTTGTGGTAGAAAGCCATGTGTTGTTATTTTCTGTAATTTATATATGAGATATATTTTAATCCAAAATTTGAAAAAAATGGAGCATAATAGACACTATTAATAAAAAAGTAATAATAGTAAGTGATATATTTTTTAATATGACCACATAAGACTGTGCTCCAGGCAATGTTTCATTGATTTGTATGGGTGGTCACTTTAAGCCTCTCTTGGTGAAATAATTTGAGGAAATCAATTTAGAAAAGGCAAAAATCTTGTCTGGATTTTAATACAGAGAGTTCAGCTCCAGAGCTCAGGCTCTTAACCTCCACAGTGTGCCAGCTCTTAGGCTGTGGTAGCCTGTTAATCAGTAGCCATCAATGACTTTTTCTCCTCCTGTTCTTTTCTGCTCCCCAACACATCATTTGTGCACTTGGCCATGAAACCTGCTTTGGCCAATAGGACATTAATTAGCAAGCATGATGCAAACAGAAGCTTTTCGTGCACATTGGGTCGTGTCCTTTTGGAATGCTTCCTCTTAAAATTCAGCTTCCAGGTTCTAAAAGCTTGAATTAGATGAGAGGCATGTGGGAAAAGGCCCTGGGGGATGACAGGTTGGTCATTTTGGATGTTCCAGCCTCAGCTGAATTCCCAGGGTAACACTGCAGTGTTAGTGATTCCAGCTACCACACAGAGAGCAGGAGAACCACAGAGAGGTGCCCTGTCAACTCACAGAATCATAAGAAGTAATAAAGCATTAATTGTGTCAAGTTACTAAATGTTTCAGCAATTTGTTCCACGCTGTAGGAGTCTGAGATTTTCCATTATGAGTCCTGATTTGGAGCCTTTCTGACATTCTGCCATCCTCTGCTGAGCATGAAAATTCAACATCAGTATTAGAGTATGCCTGATTCATTTTAGTACTATTTTGTTATTGTAGAACTTGTTATTATTGAAGTTTATTGTATTATTATAATACACTCATACTATTATTATGCAAGTTTGCCATTTTTCAAAGTACTAGTCCCTATTTAATCTTTTCAGATTTTCATAATGACTTCTTAAAAATGAAATTTTATGAAACTGATTACTGGTCATATCTGCAGATAAGGAAATTTAGAGCTTCAAGTGGTTGAACAACAACTCCAGATTAACTTAGGGGACATGTCTTCAGAGAATAACTAATCAGCTTGGGCTTGACTGCTCTGCATCCACCCTACTCCTTCTTCAGTAAGTTCTTCTCCCTTGACCTCTAAGTGTCCCTCTAGACTTCTCAGCAATGAATTTGCCCATTTATACACTTTTAAATTAGGGTTAATTTCATAGGCATTACCAAGAGTTAATTTCTAGGTATTTGCTTCTCTTTTTCAAAAAAGATGAACTCATGGTGTTTCAAATAGTATTTTTTTCATTCTACATCTATCTTTATATATGTATACCCAGGCACATACAAATAATTTTATATATAACTGTACTAAAGAGTTTACATTTTATCCAGAGAATAGTGGGGATTCATTGAAGGATTTTATTTTACAAGGGCAGGACCAGTTTTTAAATTATAGTCATTTGGCTTTTTGTCATTACCAATTTTTTAAAATAAATATTTATTAAAAAATGACAATTCCTATTATTTTGGTTTTACTGGTGCCCCTTCCAAACATTTAAAAATGAAATGAGTAAAACTAAAATTACCTCTGTAAAAATATTAAACATATATAAAACACAATTATAATTTAATATCTCTGAAAAATCAAAGCATTATAGCATACAAATAAAACTATTCTTATATTTATTTAGCAATTCATTTGTTGTTTTATATATATCAAACATAAAAACTGGAAAAAAATATAATGTGTACAAGAATGTGCTCTTGCTATCCAAATTTAACAAATGTTAAATGTTTGTCATATTTACATCACATTTGTAAAATAAACATTACAGATGCAGTCAAAATCCTTATGGCCAATCTACTCATTCCTATTCTTTCTCTTTTCTTAGACATTCTGAAGTGGCTACCTATCCATCATATGTTTTTTATACTTTTTCAGTATTAATTTACACCTATAACGTTTTACAATGGATGATAATGCATATTTTATTTTGAAATCTCTTGTTTGAGAGTTTATGCTTTTAAAATATAATCATGCTGATTTGTGTTGACTCATTCATTTTAATCATGTAATAACTACTTCATTTTAATCACTGTGAAATTATCCATTGAATATATATAGCACAATTTGTTTATGGATTCTAATCTTATTTTTTAAATTAAGATCAATGTTTATTTCTACACCTAATCCAGGGGCATATAAAAACAATGAAAAAGAATTTAAGAATATTTAAGTACTAAATGTAATGTGGAAGTATACAGGATATGCTCAAAATTCAAGTAGAAAATCCAAATATTGTAGTTTTTATTTACTCTATATATACACATTATATTTATATAACTAAAGTATAGAATTTAAAATATTCTATAATAATAAAACAATTTAATAGTAGCATTTGTATTATTAATAATAGTATAAGTAAGTATAGAAATAATAACACAGTGTAATTATAGTAGTAGTATAGGATGCAGTAAGCCCCCAATTTAAATGTAAACCTTATATCTTTGGCATATGGTGATTAGCAAATGTTCCAATTATACTGTCTTACTTATAAATCAAATAAACAAAGATCTACATGATAACTTCTTGGAAAAAAGTTACATCAATGTGTAAATGATGGTATAAATAGTAAACTAATATTAAAAATGCAATCTACAATTGTGTTCTTCTGATGTCAATAATTCCATTTGACTTCATCTTTTTAACCTGGCTCTCCCACTCTCTCTCTCTGCACACACCTGATGCTATTGTCTGGTTGTTTCCTTTTCCTTTATTGGGCTAGTTTCAGGTAGATAGCCTACTTTTCAGTTCATTTTTCAGTTATCCCTCAAGTATCTGTTCATCCAGTAGCCACCGTCCTATTACACATGTACCCCCTCTCCCATCTATGATGCTACAAAGTGTCTTAACAGCTCGACTTTCTCTTATCTGGTATGATTCCAGTCCATTTCCTTTGCTACTAATGTATCTAAAATGAAAATCTAGACTTTATTCTCTTGATTCAAAAACTTCAATAGCTCTCTGTTGTTTTCTAGACAAAATTTACACTGCTTAAAACGAGAGATGAGCCTGTTGAAAATCCACCTTTGCCTCCTTTTGTAGCCTAATGTGCCACTCGGCTCTCCTTGATCTAGCAGAACTGCCTCTGCCCTTCTGTAGATAAGCCCTTCCACCCCCACCCCATTTTAAGCATCCCATGTACATGCTTATCTTAAAAGATGTGCTTTCCCCAGTTTCTTCCTAAGGTCAATTCCTGACCCATCACCTCTTCTTTGCCTAGTGCTCCCTGTTTTAACAGGTACAACTAATCATGCTCTCCTTTCAATGGCTGTTATGTACTGCACCCCTATTAAAGAGCAGTAAGTATTTTTAAATAGGTCTCTCTACTCCATCAGTTTATAGACTTCCTAAGGCAACACTTGATCTTCTTGATTTTAGATGTTATGCAACCAGTACCCAGTACATCATAAACTTTCAAAAAAGTGTGTAAATGAAGGGATAAATAAATGAGTTTTAACATTAAAATCTGAATAATATTTCAGATTTATTTCAGCATGTTTTGTTTTTCTACCATTAGAAAATTCTAGATTCCAGTGTGAAATAATGTAAAACAGTACTATTCCTAATTATGTTACTTTGAAATATATACAATTTAATAGATTATTTTCTTATTACCCAACCTTTAGTAGGTACATGCCTTGTTCTTAAAAAGGTAATTTATGAATACTATTTGGGGAAGATTTGTGCACATGTAGTAGATTATATATTTTTTGGTGGGTTCAATGTAGACATGCCTGTTTCCCTGGATTCAGAACTTGGTTCTGACTTACCTATCCACTGCTATAGCTACTAAAGTAAAGACTGAAGCTGCAACTGATATTCCCTGGACCAATCCACTGATCTTGCACATTGTATTTCCAAATGGCCATCCTGAAAGGAAGATGGAACAGTTTTTTAAAAGATCATTTATCATCACTGAAATTATGAAGAGAATGGTGTGACATCAAGAGTAAGGTAACTGTTTTCTTAATGATAGCCACAGAACAATGCTTCTCAGTATTTTCACCAATTTTTCCAGACCCTCCATTTTTTAGCACACTAATGACAATGTCAAAACTTAGACAGTAATTCCCATATTCTAGCCACTATGATAAGTGCTTTACATTTGTTAACACAGCTGATTCCCATGACAAGTCATTTTTTTTCCATGACAAGCTTGTGAAAGCTTTATTATCTTCAAGATATGTGTAGGCAAGGCATCAAACAAATATCACATACCTTGCCATTGCTAGTTATCAGCTTAATAAGGATCCTAACCCAGGTAATAGGTTTCCAAAATTCAAACCATTAACCCTTATGTGATAATACCCCTTAAATAAAGAAAAGAGTCAGAATGTTGTTTGGATGATTTGGAAATATACTCCAGAAATTATACGAAACCAGGAGTTACATATAGAATAAATAAGCTATATTTATTTATATATAACGTAACAAAATAATTTATATCAGAGCTACTTCCAGAATGAAGAGCCCCTTGCACAGACAAAAGTAGTCTATTTTCATTACCTCCTAACCAAACCTCAGGTACTAGAAAATTTATAAAAGAAATTGGTAAAAAAATTTATAGCAGTTTGATGTTCAAAATGCTCTTCTGCTATGAAAGAGAAATAACAATATTCTTCCACTTGAAAATATTCTGTACACGTGCTTCATATTTCTAAAATTTATCTTTTAAAAATATTCTGCAACTTACTTTTCCAAAGCAAAATATTCTTATCTAGTATGAAATATTTCATTCTTAATAATTTAGCTATATTGGAAAAAAAACAAAACAAGAAAACACCACCATCTGTCTAGAACATCTTAAAATAAGTACTTGAGTGACTACTGAATGGAAACTAAATGTCTCCCCAGTCCTAAAATTTGTTAGGTTGTGAATAATATTATTTAAAAAAAGGTGAAAGGCAGTATGTAACCCCGGGGTGAACATGAAAGAATAAGCCTAAATTTTACTTTATATACCTCATCAAACGCCATTGAAATGACAGCGCCAAAGCATAAAAGCAGAAATCCATTGAAACCAAGGTGCCAGATACTATTGCGTGCAAAGTTGGGAAAACAAGATGACAGTGGAAATTATAAATAAATCCAATCACATGTCATTGGCTTTTCTCCTCTGTTGGCAAAAGAGTGGAGGCTTAAAGCTCATTCACCAAGTGCAGGGTTAGTAGATGCCATAGTGATGACCAAGGATTAAGTGACAGCAGGCCACTGCAGACCCAGAGACCCATTCAGCTCTGAAATGCAGCAACCAGTCTTATGTCCCTATAGCAACAAACCAGAGAACAAACTTCAGGGGACAATGACTCCAAGAACACTGACATGCAGATTTAATGGCCATGAAAGTCCCTAACTACTGAAGCTGGGAGTGGTCTACCTCAACCTCCAGCACAGGGAACTTGCAGGAACCAATTTCATCCATGAAACAAGTACAGTATGATAGTATGAGGAAGATGCAAGAGATAAAAAAACTACTCAAAAAAATTTTAAGATGTGATAACAGAGATAAGGTATTAATCTAAAGGCTGGAAGAAAAAATTGAAAAAATTCATTTTCTGATTGAAATATCTAGTTTGCATCTAATACAATAAATAAAAACCAAAAAGATGTAATACAAAGTTTAATATCATGAAACTCAGAATACTAGGCATATAGACAAGTTCAAAAGGCTTTCGGGAAGGAAAAGTGTTAGTCACGAACAAAAGAAGCAGGACTCAAAAGGCACTAGATTTTTTCATCAGTGACTCCACATTTCCCAACAGTAATAAAGGAGCAATACCTCTACAATTCTGAGGGAAGAAATTTATGAACCATGATTTTTCACATTGCTAACTAAAATCATGTGTGAGACAAAACAAAGACACTTTCAGATATGCAAGATCTCAAATATGTTTTATCTCAATGTGCTATTTCTCAGGAAAGAATAAGCCAAGAAAGAAGAAGACATGGCATCCACAAAAATGCAAAGAAAGGTGAAGATAATTATCAGAATACCAGCGAAGAGTATTCCAGACAAATTTCTGTGCTCGGAGAGCAAAAAATCCAGACAGTACAAAGGTCAGAGAATACCTGGAGAGGTACTGTAGGAAAAAGATGCAGTTCATGGGTTACCATAGATATACGAAGTTATTAACATGAGAGTCCTGGAAGAGAATTTGAGGATACATTACTGACAGGTACACAGCAGAAAAAAGTTTTTCTCTCAAAAACTGATAGAAATCTCTCTGGCTAACCACAAAAGGGCCTAAATGTCTGTATATTATTAGATTGAATACACTAATCAAAGTGTGATGATCTCCATAAATCAAGAAAAACAAAACAACATTTTATAGAAGAGAAATTGCTATCAGAGCACTTTCCACGGTTCAGCAAGGGTAAGATACACATAAAATAGAAACGTATACTCTGGATATTGATTTAAATATCTGGATATTGATTTAAATAGAACTGTTCATTGTTATATTGGGAGAATGAAAGAAGATGAAGTTTGTGAATTTATTTTTTTCTTTATGAGTGGAAGTGGATTATGAGAACAAAATTTGTGTCTTGTACAGATTGAAGAAAAATATCATATTGAAAACATATTTTTAAAAAAATGTTATTAATTACCAAAAATAAAGATAAAAAGTGCTGAAAATGTTATTAATTACCAAAAATAAAGATAAAAAGTGCTGACTACTTAGAATAAAAATCAAGAGGTAAAGTAGAGTAATTTACATTAAAAAATTGTTAAATAATAATTTAAAAAATATTTCTGGGGAAAATAGTAAGACTACTTTTTGACAATGTGACTTACCTGAGAACAACAATTTTTATCAATTCCTTCACTCTCTTTGTCTAGTATAGTATCTTGAACATGTTACATCCTTAGTAAGTATTTGTTTAATGATAAGCATCAGAAATTCTCCTGATCAATTCAGGACAGAACTGATAGAATAAGCACCCCGAATTATCCTTGGCAGACAACTACTCCAGAGAAAGGAAGGAGAAAATGGATGAAAAGAAAGAAAGCTCTTTTCCTATTCTTCAGTGAATTGATGTTGAGTGCTATGAAAGGATATGGTAGGGCTATTAAATAGGCTGTGATTATTTCACTGTTCTTATGAAGATTTGAATGTGAATATCTTGAGTGCTCTCCATTAACACAATGAATATTAATTTTGTTCTAAGTATCAAAATGCTGTGGTTATCTGGAAATACATTGCTTCTATACTTCTAGAACACATTAAGGTGGTGCTTGAGAAGCAATAATGTGGACACAGAAGTCCTAGAAAGGAGATACCTAACCTTTACAGTGTGATACAACTTACGTTGTACGTGTAAACTGCCATGTTTTGAGAAATCATCATGACTGCTTCATCTTCCCTCAAAAACTGATAGAAATCTATCTGGCTAACCACAACAGGGCCTAAATGTCTGTATATTATTAGATTGAAATTTCTATGATGTTATGTTCAAGTACATCAACTGCAATCAGATGCACCAGTTCTCTGAAACGTACAGTCCTAATATTATTCTTAATAACATTCATGCTGTACTCTATGTTCTTTTGTCTATATTTAACAAATTCAAATGTTTTGGTAAGAAATGTGAGATATCATACTCTTAGGATGTTTAGTGAGCGCTTTATAAAAAGAATAGCCTACATTCTCCATCTCTGTCACTTGAGTTAATTTTCCCCATAATTCTTATTCTCAAATTCTCTGTTTAGTGTTGTCTCCTCCTTTAGAATGTATACCCCATGGGAACAGGTACCTGGAGTAGTTCCTGGAACTGCATAAATATTTGCAAGGGAATGACGCTGCCCTGGCTATAGGGATATGTTGCAAACCTTTCTTACATCAACCATGCACTATGCAGTCAACATACCTGCTATAATATTATCCAGCAGTGTTATAGGCATACAGAATATGCCAACCAGTAAATCGCTTATTGCCAGGTTTAAGATGAATAGATTAGTGACAGTATGCATGTGTTTATTCCGCATAACAATAAAGCAAACCACGGTGTTTCCCACCATGCACAGGAAGAAGATCAGAAAGTAGGAAATAATGAAGATTGCTGCCACTTGAGGATGGTGAAGATAGTAGTTCACATAGGTAATACTATTGTTTGAATACAGGTGATGCTGTGTGTCATTGACACTCCAGATGTGATACCAGTTTTCTGAAGAGTTTGAGTCCCATTTCTCACTCATGATGGACCTTACAAAAGAGAGGCAGAAAAGAAAAGTATGATTAGAAACCAGCAGAATAAATGTTCTGTGCTTCAGCTTGATAACAGGAACACATTTAAGACATCACTGAATTTTGATGGGCCTCCTGAGATAATCCATTATTTATAGAAAAGACTGAGTTATAAATAAAGCATTTAATTTATTGGGATTCTAAGAGTGTTGGGAAATATGCAGCAGTTATTATTATATTTTATTTCCTGATATGCTCTATATTTTACATCTTTGGTCATAACCTCTATCCATTTTCAACTTTCCCCTTTTCAAAATTCTCTTTTTCCCTACTTCTAGTTATCATAACCTTTCAAAACCCACTTGTTCCCATTAGGCTAACTTATATGCCTCTAGCTTTTATGATAATCTGATAAGATTCTACTTCCATATAAATAAGCTTTTTGTATTTGCCTTATTTTAGTTTGACTCAGTTAATTGAAAAAAAAAATTGCATACTTCTGTATGCAGATATAGCCACCATGTTGTGACTCTCTTAAAATCATGGCAGGCTATTTACTTAGTTTCCCTTAGGATAATTCTATTTACAAATAATGCATTAATAACTTATTTAGAATCTATATATCTTAATGTGAACCTTTCAATCAAACTTTGTGTATCAGAGGTATCCAAAACCATTCCTACATTCAGTGATTCAGGGAAGGACTGATTTAGAGATGGACCAAATCATTTAGGAATAATTTAGAGGACTCACCAGCCTCAGTATTTAGTACTTTCAGAGCTAGTATTTATGATAGTGAAGGATGCAAAGCAAAATCAGCAAGGGAAAAAGGCACATGGGAAGAAGTTTGTAGGAAATCAGGCACAAGCTCCCAAGAGTCCTCTCTCAATAGAATCACACAGGACTTAATTCCTCCAGCAACCAGTTGTAACAATGTGTGTGAAATGTTGTTAACAGGAAGTTCATTAGAGACTCAGTATCCCAATTTTCATTTTAAAAAAAAATGGACCTGTGGGTAACTTCTTCCAAGAATGTATCAAAATTCTATACTCCCAGATGGAGAGTAGGTGTTGGGCTCATGAACCAATTTGTACAATCTAGGAGTGGAGAAATGAAATGCTTTGATGACTTAACAAAACTTTTATATCAGTATAGACAACTATTTACTACTTAAGTTCCTAGACTCCAACCAAAGGTCTACCTTGTAAGAAGATCTTTCTAAAGTTACTAGGCTCAGGCATTCTTGCACAGCTTGTTCATTGACTAGACAGAACAGAATATGTATCCATAAATGAAGATGAATTTGACAGTGGACTTAACAACTGAGCTACCATATTCACTTTTTTGGAGTAATTTTCTGCAATTTGAGTTGGTAGAGACAAATTCAAATGGATCTGCTACTGGTGGCTAATCAGACTCTAATTTGTGTAACTTTTAGGTATTTAATGATCTCTTTGTTGCTTAGCTTCCTCCCCCACCCCACTCCCTACTGTGACCAAAAGACCTGACAAGGACAATTTTAGAGGAGGAAAGTTTTATTTGGTCCTTATCTTGGGCTACATTTCTCTAGGCAGGTGAGGCAGAACATCATGGTAGAAGAGTATGGAGAAGGAAAGCAGCTCAGGATGAGGCCACCAGGAAGCAGACAGAGGCTGCTTCCCTCACCACAGACAAAATATAAACCCCAAGGGCACACCCCCAGGAACCCACATGGTCCAGCCATTCTACAATTACCATCCACTTAATCCCTATCAGTGGATGTCACAATGGCAAAAAGGTGCGACTTGACTTATGCAGTTGATGGGGAGAAATAAAGAATGTCCATGCGCTTCTGCCTTTGTTAATGCTTTATTCACTCAAATCACTCAATACAATTTCACTCTATAGGTTCTTAATCAAGAAAATGACAATTCTTAATGCTAGGCACTACATTAGACATAATCAATTCACAGCAAACAATTATAGAATAATTCTAAGCAGTGCAAACACACTTAATCATGACAGGCTCATGACAGACATTCCCTCTGCATGCTAAGTTCAAGTGTCAGATCAAAAGTCTCAAGCTTTAGGCTCTAAGTCCAGCAGATGCACAGTCACTCAGACCATGGTGATCAGGTTAGGAACCAAGGCAGGTTTCACCTGGGGTGGATCTGACAACCAGTTGAGGAGAGGGTTGTAGGGAGAAGCCATGGCTCTCACCAGGGTCAAGATGTGGCTGTAGAGTTTGAGAACAATGAGGAAAATGCAGAGGATCAGGCAAATAATAAGAGTTGGGATGTCAGTCCAGGTCCTCATCAGGCTCTCCAGTGTGAGGGCATCAGTGTCAGCTGGCTGAATGTCTGTTCATTTGCTCCATTTTTTATACCAAATTTTGGGGCTTTTGATCCCCCTTTCAATCCCCAGCAGCTGCCACCAGGTCTTTAGTTACATCATTTACCCTGGGGTTAAAACATCTGGTCTAGTGGTCCCCACCCTGATTTTCTCACCTTTCCCCCTTATGGGGCTAGGACAACATGCCAGAGACTTTACTCTGAGTTTCTCAGGGTAGGGGACACGTGACTTGTTTGCATCTGAGAGCCATACTGGAGGGCTCTGTTAGGTGTCCCTGGTGAGACTGCAGATTTCAAACTGGAGTTTTAATATGGAGTTGCTTAGGCTCAGGCCTAAGGCCATCCTTACAGTGGATCAATGCAATGATTAAGATTAAATGATCATAAACCAATCATTTCACCTCTAAATTTTCTTACACATGAGCTTTTCCTGGGGAAGCAATGGGACCAACTCATATTTAAACCATAACATTCATCAAGTGTATATTTGTATCATTTTAGAGAAACATGTTTGATGTGCAAATATTTACAATAAGTATTAAACTATGTATTAATAATTTCTGATACTTTGAATGATTTTCTGTTGTTCTATTGAGTATAGGAATGTAACACAAAAGTTACTAAAAATAATGTTATGAAAGGGGATTATTTTTCTCCAATAGTTTCCATTAATTTTCAATTTTATGTTTTCCTTTCCTCTAATTTTTTAAACCTCTCTTTGCTTTTCCTGGGTATTGTAGTCCCAATTTTAAAGGAAAACATTTTTTTTTTTTTAAAAAAGGAAAGAAAAGCAAAGTGATTATGAGATGGGACTTAGTGAGGAGTAAAAGAAAGGAATTCATGTGAGCAGGACTACACATAGTCACATACATGCAGTCAGACTGAGGGTGTCTGGAGTTCAGAGCCTGGAAAGAAGAGCACCAAGCAGCTTGGAACAGAAGCTTCGCAGTCAGTCTCCAAAAGAAAAGTAGTCACAGGAAGATCTAAGGATCTCTGAAGCAGAGAAACTCCAAACACAAAGGAGAACTGCATGGAAAACTGGATGTGGATAGGAAACATCTATAATGAATACCATCAGCAACATGGCAGAATAGGAAGTCTCCAACTCAAACACTCCTCCCCACAAAAAGTTCAACTAGCAACAATCTATAGACCAGAACATTCTTTTGAAAACCAGGATACTTGGAAACTAGTCTGAGGCAGCCATTTGATCTATAGAACTGAAGTAAAGCCACATCAGGAAGGCTAAGAGTCATACTCTGACTGTCCCACCACTCAGGATTTCTCTGAGCCCCATATTCAGAATATTCTAGGACTGTAGTATTAGTGTATAAGGCAATTTCATTGCAGTACAAGGGTTAAAAGATAAAACTATTTATGACAACTATTGCTGAAACAAATTGTCAAAGAATACATATTACTGAATTGTGTAAATTCTGACATAAAAACATAAAATTCTTTTACGGAGTAAAAGTACATAGTTGTTTAGGAAATAAAATGGTTAACAGCTTGATATCAGCTGTGGTCTCATAGTAACTACAAAGAAAATGAAGAAAAACCACAAAGAAAAATTTAGAATACAAGCACAAAGCAAAATAGAAAGAATTCAAAGGATACCAATACAGAAAACCATCAAACCTCAAAAGAACATATTAAGAGTGCAAAAAAGAAACAATGTAGAATCTATAAAATAATCAGAAAACAACAACTAACAGAAGAGAAGTAGTAAGTTCTTACATATTAATAATTATCCTTACTAAAGGGGATTGAATTCTCTAATAAAAATAGAGTGACTAAATGGATTAAAGGAAAACAAAACATAAAACCCTAGACCCATGTATATATGCTGCCTTTAAGAAATTCAACTCACTTACTTTTAAAGATACCACAGATTGAAAGTGAAGGAATGGGAACAGGTATTCCACTCAAATGGAAACCAGAATAGGATTATACAGAATGATAGTCTCTTTAATTAATGAGGCTGGGGAAACTGGATATCCACATGCAGAAGAATGAAATAGACCTTTATCTCATATTACACACAAGACCAACTCAAAATGGCTTAAATACAAATGTGAGACCATGAACTATAAAACCACTAGAAGAAAATATACAGAGAAAACCAGGCAAAACTGATGCGGGCAATGGTATTTTGAATTTGACCCTTAAAACACAGGCAACAAAAGTACCAAAAGACAAGTGGGATTATATCAAACTTAAAAGCTTCTTCACAGCAAAGGAAATAATTAATAGTATGCAGAGAATCTGTGGATTGAGAGAAAATATTTGTAGGCCATAGTTCCAATAGAGAATTAATATCCAAAATATATAAGGAGCTCAGCAACTTAGGAGCAAAAACTGAAAGACCCAATTAAAAAACGGGCAAGGGATGTGAACATATATTTCTCAAAAGACATGCAAATGGCCCACAGATATATGAAAACTGTTTAGCATCATTAGTCATTAGGAAAACACAAGTTAAAATTGGTTATATGAGATCACACACCCTTCAGAATGGCTACTATAAAAAGACAAAAGATAACAAGTGTTGATAAGAATGTGGAGAGAAGGGAACTATTGTACGCTATTTGTAGGAATGTAAATTAGAAAGACATTATATAAAACTTTATAGTGTTTCTGCAGAAAACTGAAAATCAAATTATCATATGACCTGGCAATTACACTTTTGGATATTTATCCAAAAAATTGA